TCCCCAAATGACCTTGGGACGCTGATCTGTCATTAAACAAAAACAACTGGGCCTGGGCAGAGCTAGCTGTGACATGTCACGGCCGGCTATGCTCAGTTGTTATTCATTGGCCGGGACTTGCTATAAGACTCTAGCAGGTGCCGGCCTATAGGAAACAGTTGGGTGGAGCTAGCTGTAACTGCTAGCTCTGCCCAATTGTTTTTCTTTTGCCTGCATCTATGCCGGCGTTTTTTAAAAATTATTGTTAATTTTTCGTCTGGAGACGGCAACCCGCAGATGCTGCAGTGCCGTCCGTCCGTTTTTTTACTACGGGCGGACGGCAAGAGGTTAAACTATTTTTATATTTTTTACATTTTCCTACATTTAAAAACTATTTTTCAACTTTTTTTTTCTGTTTTTAAATGTATTTCACTTATTTTCTATTCTGCCCGGTACCTCACAGGTACCGAGCAGAATAGCCAAGCCGAATGCTGCCAAGCAAGTGAGCTGGACACAAGAAATTATAAAAGGGCAAATACAAAGTAAACTAAAACAAATGAGGTAAAATATAGCCGTTTCTGTTTTCTGTTTACAGAAGTAAGGCATACAAGGGTTTTTTTTTTAGACAAACAAGGCTTTTCTTTTGGTAAAATTGCCTTCCAAGACAAAGTGTGGCAAAGTTATTTTCAAAATCAATAAAGCTTATAGGAAAAATGTTAGGGTACGTGGTTTTTTTTCCATGCAAACAGTAAAGAATAAATAAAAATGGCAAAAAGACCAGCTAAGAGGAGCAGGGAGAGAGTTTTTTTATTTGGTTAGTTAGATATAACATGAAACTGATGGGTTTAATAGGAAATAGTTTTATTCAAAGTATTTTTTTTATTTCAGCCTTCAGCAAACAATACATAGACACAATGGGGTTGAAGCCAATATTATTATGTGGATAGATGAAGCAATTTAGGATTGTGTGTTGAGGTGATCTGATAACTGGATTACAGAGGACACATTGGATAAGCCCAGCTAAACTACACCTGCGGATGTCTTCTTTCTTTTTTATGCCACTCAGACATTTTATGTATTTTATGCAAATATTTGTTGTGTCTTGTGACACTGAAGGTGCGAAGTAAAAAGGAGCAACATAGCATTTAAAGTATAACTAAAGGCAAACCATTGACAGGTTTGTTTGTTTTTTGGGCTGTCTGTATCTCCGTTAAGGAGATTCACCCTCTCTAATTGTTCTGATTACCAGTTTAACGGGGAATGAAAGTGAGAGTAAATCCAAAATTGCCACCAGAATAGGAAAAAGGGGAAATCTTCAAATTAGGACACTTGTTCCCATGACAACTGTCTTACATTGGAATAATATGCTCTCCCTTCCTGTTGGGTCTGTAGGAAATGGGCTGAAGTGAAATCTCCCTAATAAAAGACACAAAAAAACCTGACAACGGTTTTAACCTGTCTCTACTTTATCTGAAGTGAAAGGTTATTTTTTATCTTTATTTGTTAAATTTTGTCAAATTATTCTTTCTCTCACATAATAATTTATTTCAGAAATACATATCCTCTTTACCATTGAAATGTGGTATAGCAGCACTTTGAAATCCAAGACTTTGCTGTCTTGGTTTTGAGGAGTGAAAAAAACCTTCTACTACTACTATTCTAGTACCTTTATCTTATACATTGGGGATGATTTACTGACAGCAAATAGGCTGTTCAAATTGCAAGGGGATTTGCACATTGCAAGGGAAGTTTCCGTTAGCATGGAGAATGTGGTGAAATTTTACTTTGTAAAGACCACCAAATCATGTGCAAAGAAATGTTTTTAAAAAGCCCCGAATTTTTGCTTGCACATAATTGGCTGATGAACTTCAACAGAGCTTCACCTCATTCACTAAAATAAAAGGTAACTTCCCCTTCAAAGTGCAAATTCCCTTGCAAGGTAAACAGCCTATTTTCCTTTAGTAAATCAACCCTTGTATATCCAGAAAGATAGAAACAATTTTGCTTCAGCATATATGGAACTACATAAACACACTTCCTTTGATGCTATAGCCTACAAACATGGGACAAATGTCTTTAAAAAAAAGGGCATGATCAAAAATGCTAAGAGAGCAGGTTTGAACATATGACATTTTTCGAAAGTGGCCATCTGAAAGGTGTACAGTGAATGGACCGAAGCAATATATTCTACATGAGTGGGAGGCAGCCCTTGGTGGATGGATGTGGGAGTTATTGGGTGGCTTGGGCAAAATTGCCACTCTAAAGTACAGTAATTATTAAGCAATATCAGAATGCAAATAGAATGAGGTTGCCACCTGTTGTAGATATAACAGTAGTTGCCTGACTATAAAAATATCCGATGAGCTCAGAGCGTATGAAGAGGACAGAAAAGATGTACTTACAGTACTGGCTATACTCACTGCAGTGTGCCTAGACACTGTACTGTGGCTGTACTAAATAGAATGGGGGGAATTTATCAATACTGGATCAGACACAATCTGGAGCAACTGTGCATGTTAACCAATCAGAGTCTCTCTTTCATTTTTAAATCTTAACTAAATACACTGAAGATTGAAGCTGATAGATTGCCATGGGCGACTGCTCCAGTATTGATAAATTCTCCTCAATGTGCTTAGACACTGCTCAGGGTCTATACTCATTACAATATGTTTAAATACAGCTCTGCGCCAATAGCTACATAATGAGGGGAATTTGTCAAAACTGGAGCAGAAAAAATCTGGAGCAGCTGTGCATTGCAACCAATCAGCTTCTCTCTTTCATTTTCAAATCTTAACTGGACAAACTGAAGAGAGAAGCTGATTGGTTGCCTTGGGCAACTGCTCCAGATTTTGTCTGCTTCAGTTTTGATGAATTCCCCTAATTGTGTTTCTTCATCATAGATGAGCTCTAGCTTGTTTATGCAGTCACAGTCAAGAATGTGCTACCTCAGTCATTATTCTGATGCCATAGTTGCCATTGCGATATCACAGGAATAATATGATGTCATATTATTTAGCGATGTCACAAATTAGATTGTAACATCACAGCCACTTTTATGATCGCCATGTTATAGTAGCTATTGTAATGAAATTCATTATCTTGATGTCCCAGTCAATAATATTGTGCTACTGTCGGTATTGTGGTCCTATGGTCACATTTAAGAGGTTAAGGGTGATGACACTCATTAAAACCTGAAGGTGCTTGGATTGTGTGCCCCTCTATACAGCTAGCTGTGAAAAAGTCTCACGCATGTGGTATCCCCATACTCAGAAAAGTAGCATCATATGTTCTAGGCTGTAATTCAATGCATGTTTGCCAATGCTGTGTGTGAGAAATAACTTATTAAAATGACAACATTGTAAACAAAAATCAATTATTTTTTTATTTTTAAATAAAAATTTAGCAGGATACATTTTGGTCTAAATTTATGAAGAAATATTAATTTAATATGTTTTTTAACAGAAAGTAAGAAAAACAGTTTTTTTCCCCAAAATGTACTGTTTTTTTAAACCCAGTGGTTATTGAATACCAATAAAAAAAGCTCGATCTGTTTAAAAAAAGACATGATATAAAATTCATTTGGGTACAGTATTGTATCACAGCACTAAAAACTGAAAATGGCCTAAACAGGAAGGGGGTTTAACATGCCGGTCCTCAAGTGGTTAAGTAACTTAATCCATTCCAGAAAGCCACCAACTAGGAAATGGATTTTGTGCTTAAATAAATTATTATTGCTTTGATTTATTTCAGTGAAGTATATTAAGCATGTAAAAAAAAAAACAGCTAAAATACTACAATAAACCATTTCTTGACCTAGTTTAAAGTTTCTTCTTGTGTTTTCATTTGTTTCATTTGCCCTGAATTCGTTTAACAAGCTTTAGAATTATTGATTCCTTTTCTGGAAGAAAAAAAAAAAAGTTTTAATATATTAAATAAAATTTGTATTTTTAAAGCATTCTGGCGCTTTCGTTTTAAGCTCAATTGACTTTCTAGTGTGCTCCAGTGCATTCTGGTGCATGTACATGCGTTTACATGTATTTTGGTGCGTTCCAGACCAGAGAAAATAGTACATGCTGTATTTTCTTTTAACCTGCTGGAACTAAACACACCTCTAAACCCTCTCTAAAACTGCTATGTTCTTTTTCCAATGGAGTGTCCAAAACTCGACCCCATATTATACACAAATGTTTGCTTTTGCAGCTGCTGTTTGGCATTGAGTAGAGCTGCTTAAGGTGGCTAAACACTATGCAAATTTTGGCCGGTTCTTAATGATGGCCGAAATTCACACAGTGGGTGCTGTTGGCACCCTTTCGGGCACCATCCCTTGATTGGCTGATCGAAAGAACAGGTCAGAAAATCTTCGACCAAACAGAGCCGGCAGCCATTGAGCTGCCGGCTCTGTTCAGGTATTTCGGCGGCTGCTGTCAGAATACAATGAAGACAGCAAGAGATTCCTCGATCAACACTCGTAAGGGTTGATGGAGGAATCTGTTATATTTTCTTCAGCCTACAGGTTAAAAAAATGAACCATAACAGCACATGGCGCATTTACTGTGCACTCACAGTAAATGCGTCACAGTAAGAGTTGAATACGTTCTGGGTTTCAGGGAGCTTTGGTTTTGGTTTTTAGTATCTCACACCCAGCTGCCTATAAATGACCATAAATAATTTATGCTAGATTTCTGAGATAAAGTTTGATGCACAATTTTGCCAATGAATGCGATAATGCGAACTGATTGCTGCAGCTAACAGCAGATCATTACTTTTTCCATGGAGAAAAAGTTCACAAGGCATGTGCTGCTATCACACATCAGTTGAGATGGATAGGAAAAACCAATGTGTCCAACTGCTTAAGCACAAGTCTGAGGACAGCTGTCTCACCACCAACTATTCCTAGTGGGTCACTTGCACATTTATAGCCAGCTCTATATTTACATATATAAGTATTTTTTTATCATAACAAGAATTTCAAAAATTTACATGTAAATTAACATGCACACTGCAATAAAATAATTACTCACTGTCCTGATTTTCAAGTACTGAATACAATGCCACCATTCCTGAGTGAATGTGATCAGCCACGTGACAATGTAGTAGCCATGTTCCTGGGTTCTTTGCAGTCATTTCAACAGTTTGAAAAGTCCCAGGATACAGATCATATACATCTGTCTGGTAAACACTACCCATCTAAAAAGTAAACAGTAAGAATAAAGTACTGTCCTTACGAGTTTTAAAGTTAGATATAAAAAGGTCCCACCCCCTTGTCCTTTAAGTTTAAAACATTTTGTTCTTTATCTAATTTAATGTACAATGTGCACATGTGAATTCAATTTCAACCGAATGATGTTGAATATATTATATTTGCACCCTGTGTGATTGCATAAAAAAAGTGTGTGTTTTGATACTATGCCTTTATTTCAAATACCAAAACAATGTATATTCTCCATTAATTCAAACTGGTACCCACTCATAGACAAAGTATGACAATGTCTCAAAATGTTATTTATATACACAAAAGTTTAAAACAATAAAAATATATAACATGCAAAATAGTGAGAATGGCTCATTTAACATATACAAATGCCTCTAACTATCCACATCCAAATGTCAAATTATACCCTTTATAAGTTGGATCACATAGGTATGAAACCATTCTTAGAAGTATATTTCATTTCTTTAAAGTAAAGGCATTTGGATGCGATACATTCAACGTGTCTCACGGATATACATTCCGCTTCATCAGGAGTAACTGAGACATTGATATGATAATAGAACTATCATGGAGCTAGCTGTATGGAAACCTCTACTATAAGTCTGGTGGGCGAATGTAGGGAAAACAGTTGATAATTCCCTCCAACTGGATATCAAGAACAGCAAGAATCTGCCACAGATAGCCACTATTGCTATTGCGTATTGTACTCCTCCAGAAGACATAATGAAAGATGGAAAAGGCTTATCGTTGGTGCACTAGTGGTAACATGTGGGAAAAAAGAGCCCATCTCCTCCCCACTAGATCTGTGGTGATGAAGTTGCTGTTCTTGATATCCAGTTGGAGGGGATTATATGTTATTTTCCCTGAGTGTTATCTATGAGTGCATACCTTAAAAGTCTGGTTTGACTTCATGGAAGATTTACTGTGGAACCCAAAATAATCAACCCATCTAATATTGTTTGATTCTAACATACCTAGACAATGCTTATATTTTAGTTGAGGGTTCAACTTCAGTGAGCATACACAGGCAGTCCACTTATCAAGCTTTGGTTTCAGGGTGGTTGCAACCACTTTTATTCATCCAACCAGATCAGAACTGCAAATATTCTTCTATTGCTGGGGGGTTTCCAGCATAATTCAAATATAGGTGTCCCAGCAGCTCTGGGCTCTGTCTTTTAACTACACAGAAAGCCTTCTCCACATGCACATATACACAAACACACACAGGAAAGTCTTTCTTTAAACATTCCACCTATGGCTTAAAACCATCTGTCTTCCAGACCAGGGAAAGCCACTGCTTAGAGTGATGGCTAAGAGACCCACCCTCTCTCTCCCTGACCAGACTACAGAGCCCAAAAATTGTAAACGGTATTCTTTGCAAAACTTTAATTACTATTGGAGACTATATAAAATGCCACAGCTTGGATTGCAGACCATCCTAGGGGGTTTGTCACAGTATATGTATTATACTTACAGAGTATTTAAAGCTGTGTGCATGAAAATGAACTGTATGCAGATCCACTTCATTTCCCAAGCCAATTAAATGCCAGTTTACAAGATCCCCAACATGCATTGTAAGTCCATGTAAGTTGGAATACATCTTTCCATTGATAGCTGGAAAAAAATGAAAAATTGCTTAAATCAGTTTCCACTTCCACTGTATTGTAATAGTAATCTATTTCTGTATATATTTTCTCTGACAAATTCACAGAATTTATATAACCCAGTCTACTCTATGTAGCTAGCTTACAAACACAGATGGGAACCTTATCAACTAAATCTTTGAAAATGTTGTTAAGAATTAAGACTGTCTCATGATACGAATTAGATGGAGACAAGAGAAAAATGTAGGTGGCTGGATAAACTGTACAAATGTTGTATGTATAAATGTTGTCTACATACATACAACAGAATTAGACTTATTTTGTGTATTAAAATAAATTTAGTACACGTCTAACAGAGTGATATCTAGAGAATGATGTCCGTGAATGGTGTGTTGCTCGACTTTTCTATTCCAGATCATATTAGTAAGGATTACTTCTGGTGTACTTGAGAATGAAGATTCTGACTTGTATTTCAATAACATCAAAGTGAAGATACTCATACATGGTGTTTTAAAGTTATTGTTCAAGGATCTTTATGTGGACAGCAGTATGAGATGGCCACAAGGATATTCGGTGTATCGCAACAATTTATTATTGTTCTATAACAAGGTGCCTCAATCTGGGTTCGGTGAGAAGTTCCCAGGGGTTCTGCCACTGTTGCAGTAGTTTTATATCCATCCAGCAGTGGCTTCACTTTTCCGTCTGCAGATATTGAGCTACATGCATTACATTGGGGGATTGATATCGCTAAATGCTATGCATATAGTTTCAGCTGTCTGGTGATGTCACACCAAGTGTCCCAGCGCACTGACAACCAATCACTGTGGAGCAGGGAGCGGCAGATGGTAAAATGGGATGACAGAAGCCTGCATATGTGCTCCATTAGGCAGGAAGCCTCATCTTCGTCTATTACACACAATTAAAATTTCCCCTGATCACTAATGCAAAGTTAAAGCTTTGGCCTAAGCACCAATGTAAATTTGAAGTTTTTGCCCTGAGCACCAATGTAAAGGTAAATGTTTACACTGATCGCCATTGCAAAGTTGGAATTTTACAATGAGAACTGATGCAGAATGAGTTTAGCAATTTGCACCAATGAAAAGTTGGTATAACCACTAAGCGCCAATGCAAATTTACAGGGTTATTCACTAAAGGGTGAAGGGTTTGGCGAAGAGCAGTGAACAATTTAGGACAACATAGCTGAACTGGAAAGTGAGCTGAATTGGAGAATTTTTCCAAATTGTTCACATCTCCTGCCTTCTCCAAACTCTTCACCCTTTTGTGAGTAACCCTCTTAGTATTTTTTGTGACTCTGTCATTCAGATATTTAGTATGCAATTCTGTTTATATTTTACTAGTGTTTGTGTGTATTTATTTATATAGCCACAACTCACTGATCACACTCGGATTCCCCAAAATCATACAATGTTTTCTGGGGTTCCTTGATGATAAAAACGTTGAGAAAGCTTGTCTTAAAACAATATTTGTATTTTAAAGCCTGGATACAAGGTAGAACTGTAACCATAAAAGCTATATCACAAACTCCTATGTCTAGATTTACTCAAGCTAAGAGAATTAAGGAGATAGCATTAATAAATATGCTTTGATGGCTATTTGCCTATGGATATAGAGAAAGCTCGGTGATTTAAATATTTCAGTGGGGAAACTCTTCCATCATCGGCAAAGAACAGCCATTCTATACTGTAAATGCGCATGTCAAGAGATCAAATTGGAATGGCAGAGATTTGGTATCAGAAATGTTTTCACTCCGATGGTGTCTTTATCAAGTACTACCAGGGCTGCTGTAGTGCTTACTTACTATGGGGTCTATTCACTAAGCTGCCGTAGGCAGCCGAGTGAAAGACCGACCTGAAGTGAAGTGAGCCGAATGCTGTTCGGCTATTCACTTCAGGCTGGTACGCCTGATTTCAGCCGTATATCGGCTGGAATCAGCCATACATCGCGTGGCTTCGGATCGGCCGAACATGCTCAGCATGTTCGGCCGATCCGAAGCCACGCGATGTATGGCTGATTCCAGCCGATATACGGCTGAAATCAGGCGTACCAGCCTGAAGTGAATAGCCGAATGCCGCCGAGCGGCATTGTTCTGCTTGGTCTCTCTGTGTGACCGAGCAGAACAGAAAAACAGTTAAAAAAGTAGAGTATTGGCTATTGGCAAATTTATTTTTTTCTATTCTGACACGGCTCCGTGTCAGAATAAGAAAAAAAAAGAAAAAGCTGTCAAAAGCAGGCTGTTGGCCGGCCGCTCGGCCAGCTTCGGCTTTCAGCGCAGCTCAGCCGAGCTGAGGCATATGTGTTCGGCTCGACTGAGCCGCTCGGCCAAGGTCGGGAGCTGTACGGGCTATAGTGAATAGCCCGTACAGTACCCCTTCGGTTCTACTGAACCGAAGGGGTACTGGGGCCGAAGCTAGCCGAAGGATCGGCCGAAGCTACGGCTAGATCCTTCGGCTGCTTCGTGAATAGACCCCTAGGTTTTCCCAGAAAGAACGTTTGTTCATTCTGTCGTGTGCTACAATTGCATAGGGTCTTAGTGAAAGGTGTACTGAATATTTCCATCGCTATAGGTTCTTTGGAAAGAACTGCACTAAGAACATGATATAGTAAGGGCAACTTACTAAGACTGAAGCAGACAGAATCAGAAGTGCATGGCAACCAATCAGCTTCTATCTTTCATTTTCAAAGTGTATCTAAACAAGCTACAGCTAGAAGCTGATTGGCTACTATGCAAAGCTGCTTCAGATTCTGTCTGCTCCAGTTTTAGTAAATTCCCCACAGTGTCAGTTCTATGACTATTCATCAATAGCCCTATTAAAAATCAACATAGGTGTGTACACTACTCTACTGCCGCTACTTTGTACTCATTATTCATCCATATGTCTGTAGGATTGCTGATCAATTATCTAGTAGTTTTCTATGAAATAAAGAATTAGAATAAATACCATGCATCATATTGCTTTCCATAAATGCTTCATCATTTTTGTTCACTTCACCCGGGTGCAGGGAATATGTTTGGATATTATGATCCAAATACCAGGACTGATTTTCATCAAAGACCACGAAAAGTAGAGAAAATCGCTTCTTTGGCACAGGGCTTAAAGAAAATGGCAAACTAGGTTTCTTGCAGATTACAAGAGGCCCAACAAGTCCACTGTAGGTGTCCTGGGGAGAGGTTGATAGGTAAATAGGTACACAATCTGTCAGAGAATATTTGTATACTAAATTCCATTTTGTTGACCAAAGAGTATTTACGTATTCTTAAATCAATATGGAATGGACATAGTTTGTCTCTGGTGCTATGTAAGACATACCGTAGGATTTAGGCATTGGATGTAATAACATTCAATAAAAATGTAGGCAGTAAAGTTTAATCAGTAAATATCAGATACAGTTTTGACATGTTTTATGCATAGCTGAATTACTGTTAACAACATACTGCAGTCATCTTCTGCTTTACTTTTTCTCAATTAGCATTGGCTGATTATAAAGATCAGTATGTTGCACTAAGCCGTATAGATTTGTTTTCTATTCTTTATAATGAACAGATAGGGACAGGGACGAAATGACCATTTGGGCACTGCCCAAGGGCGGCCGGCCAGCAGGGGGCCCGGTTGCCACAATTCCAGGAGTCACTGTCGGGTATCTGTCACTGAACAGCATGACACTTTAATGTGTTCCCCGAATCTTTCCGCCTCTGTGTTGTCCTCATAACAACCTACCAATTACAGTGCAGTTTAGTCCTTTCCAGGCTTGGCATTTCTTGACCCTGCCAATGACTGTGCTCGCAGTTGCTGAGCTGCTGTGGCTGCTGTGTGTGTGTGGCTTGTGTACCGGGTGGCTGGCCGGCTACTGTCCTGAGGATACAGAACCGTGTGAGTCATGGGTGGCAGCGGGAGCACAAGGAGAGTCTCGTTTGAGGCTGATGGTGAAGGGGATCTGGGTTAGTGCAGGGGATGTGCGGATGACACGGTGTGCTCACTCACACATGGATTATATGTGATTAATGCTGAGGCCTTTTGTGCACTTTAGATCAGGTCACTGTGCCCATGTTGTGTGTATAGTGGGACAGTGCTGGCAAAACTGAATGTAACACATACAGGTTCCTATTTGCTGGTACATTCACTGAGGGCCCATTCACACCATCCAGTGCGTTCATCTTACAGTCCCGTGGCATGAACACACTAGATCATTTAGGACTGATTCACACCAGCTCTGTTTGTAGCTCTGCGGGCAGGGGGCATGCCTGCGGTGCCATTGACATGAATGGCACCGCCATGCCCCCTCCCACCCCTGAATGTCGGAAGCCGGCCGGGATGCGCTCCAGTGCGTTCCAGCAGCATATTGTGCTGGAACGCACCAGAGCTGATGTGACAGAGCCCTAAATCAGACCCTTCCGTGTTCTGGGGCAAGAGGGGGCATGACTGTGCCATTGAAATGGCATGCATGATTTTTTGCAATCACACCACACTGGAACGTAGGGCATTGTAGTTCAACACGTTCCCATTGAAATGAATGGCACCGCCATGCCTCCTCCCACCCCCAGACATGTGGAGTGTCTGTTTACACAATCCAGTGTGTTCATGCCATGGGACTGTGAGATGAAGACACTGGATGGTGCGAATGGGTCCTTAGTCATAAAGTATTGATTGTATCTTTATATAATGTTTCAGGTGCCCAGTGTTGTGCAGTAGTATTGTAATAGAACAGTACTGCATTACTGCTTTTTTACTATTGGGTGCTGTGGTTTTTACTACTGAGCTCTGCGCTCTTTACACTGAACTGTGCGTTCTTTACCACTGAACTGTGCGTTCTTTACCACTGATCTGTGCGTTCTTTACTACTGAACTGTGCGTTCTTTACTACTGAACTGTGCGTTCTTTTCTACTGAACTGTGCGTTCTTTACTACAGAACTGTGTGTTCTTTACTACTGAATTGTGCATTCTTTACACTGAACTGTGCGTTCTTTACTACTGAACTGTGCGTTCTTTACTCCTGAACTGTGCGCTCTTTACTCCTGAACTGTGCGTTCTTTACTCCTGAACTGTGTGTTATTTGCTACTGAACTGTGCGTTCTTTACACTGATCTGTGTGTTCTTTACTGCTAAGCACTAAAACACTTACAGGTCTACTTAATAAAGGGTGAATTGGTAGGAGAATTGCAGGATAATTTTAAAGTCTTGACCAATAAGGACAATTTGGAAAGTGAGCTAGATGGGAGAATATTTCTGGTTTGGCTATTTTGACCGAGATTCTTCAGTTCCCCTGTCAATTCTCCTACTAATTCTCCTGCAATTCACCCCAGATAATTGGCAGAAGTGAAGTCTCGGTCAAAATAGCCAAACCAGAAGAATTCTGCCATATAGCTCACTTTCCAAATAGCCTGATTTCTCTAGATTTTGTAATTCTCCTACCAATTCCCCTGCAATTCACCGTTTAGTGAATAGACCTGCTGTTTTGACAATAGTATAGAGAACTAATTTCTGTAAGAGAAGAATGTATATTGCCCCTATTACCTACCTGTCACCTTCTTTTTATAGTGGTCTAGATCCAGTTCATTGGATTGACACTAAAGCTGGCCATACACCTATAGATTATTTGCAGATTTTCTATGGTCAGATGGAAAAAGTGCAACAGCTTCCTCTATCTACGCTAAAGTGTGCAGATGGGGAATCTCCCACTGGGCCAAGCTTCAGTATCTTGCTAGTCGGGCCCGCTGGCTCTCAAAACACCTGAACAATGCCTGCATCCAGTCAGATTGTTCAGGTATTTTGAGAGCCAGCGCGGCCGACTAGCAAGATACTGAACCTTGGCTCAGTGGGAGATTCCTCCATCACACAGTTTAGCCTTGATGGAGGAATCTCTTTTTCCATCTGACCATAGAAAATCTGCAGATAATCTGTAGGTGTACGGCCATTTTAACAAAGACTGGAAGGGCAAATCAGCAGATTATTTCACTGAACCATAAACCTTACCTTAATTTGATCAACTGTGGAGTAATAAGCCCAAGTCAAACATGTTTCTTCCAGCCTGTTTGGCCCAGACCTTTCTGGAACTATCCATTTATAGGTGTTCACGTGTCCTGTAAGTAGCACAAATATGGTTTCTTCAGGATTATAGAATAGTTATCCTTGTATAGGCACATTAGAATAAATGTTAAGTAATTAAGGAAAAAATGCATAAATGTAAGTTTATCCAAAGTCATAAACAGAAAACTTTAGAAGTGGTGTCTGCATCTGGTGATCTTGTCGGTAACACCAAGCTGTCCAGCAAAAGTGGCAGATAGAGAAATGAGAGAAACCATTTAACACTGACAGGGGTGCTTACAATGGTCAGCTTTATTTAATTATGTAAAACCTTTATCCCAAAAGGAAAGTAAAAACCTGTTGCTGTAAGTCTGCAGTCACACCTAGACGACAGTGTTTTCGCTCTTTTCTATGCGCATTTTTGCTGCACGTGTTTCCATTTTTTCTGCGCACGTTTACGTTTTTTTAACATGTTTTTGTAAGCAGATTGTGACATTAATGTAGATGGGCAAACGTGTCGCATGTTTCCGAGCATTTCCTATTGAGTCTATGGGAACGAAACGCACTGTAGTCTGCCATAAAGAAGCTCAGGTTTTTTTTCTGAGCGACGGGCATTTTTCTACACACAATGCTACGCTTAGATGTAAACGGGGGCTATAGAAATAAATGGGATTGGGGATGGGTGTTTCAGTATGCACAGTTACACGCAACAAAATGTTAATGTGTGAATGGTGGGTCTTAACTGCTTGAAAAATGTTAGCTGGAGTTTGGATTTCATTTGTTAGTCAAATCAATCTAAATCTGCTGGTACATCTCACACTACCCTCTCCAATGCTGCTCTCCAATGTTGTTTACATTGCTCCTCCATAGAGCGGAGCCACCCTAGGATAGGGAGTGTGTTACAGGCCAGATCACCAGGGGAAAATAAAGGGAAAAAAGCCCCCAAAAATAAAATTAATGGAGCCATCACATCTAAGGATAGGTAAGCTACAGTATACTATTTTTTTTATGGGTTTAGATACACTTTAAGACAAATGAGGTATGGCTTTTAAATATGTACTTACCAGGTTCAGTTGCTTTTACTTCATTATCTCGTAGTTTAATACCATGTGCATTAATTGAGTAGGGCCTAGAGGCGTTGTTCTTGAATTTTATTGTAATTATATCACCAACATTTGCTAGTATAAGTGGACCTAAATGAGAAAAACATTTTTTTAGTAGAAGTAAAACACAACTTCCCCATTCTTGTCAACTAATAATTATCTTATAATAAAGGAAATTTTGAAACAGCAGATACATTTCTTGGGTAAGGATAAGCAAATTGATTCACACAAATCTATACTTTCTACAAATCTGGACAGTTCGTTCTAAACCCTGGACCTGGGGAATATGAGATTTGTTTTGCTGACAAACCCAATTCGGCCTGTGAACTAGTAAAGTGGTCTAAAGAGTCACTTACCCCTTCACTTCCTGCTATCAGGTAGAAAGACTGGGTTACAAGGCCTCCCTACACCATGCTTGAACTCAGGACTGGAGAAGGGCTCCCTACAGCATGGTTGAACTCAGGACTGGAGAAGGGCTCCCTACAGCATAGTTGAACTCAGGACTGGAGAAGGGCTCCCTACAGCATAGTTGAACTCAGGACTGGAGAAGGGCTCCCTACAGTATGGTTGAACTCAGGACTGGAGAAGGGCTCCCTACAGCATGGTTGAACTCAGGACTGGAGTAGGGCTTCCTCCACCATAGTTGAATTCAGGACTGGAGAAGGGCTCCCTCCACATGGAGGGAGTGGATCCCACTTTTAAAAATTAACAAAGTTATGCAATAAAAATGATATGAAAGGAAGTAACATCCTTTCTTATTAGGAACTGTCCTTATAGCCTTATCTTTACTATGGCAGCAAAGTCGCTAAAAATGTTTCCCACAGTTTTTTCAGGGAAATATTAGGGGTGTAAACAGACCCCTGATATTTCCCTTTTAAAATAGAAAAAGAGATTGAGAGCATAGAGTCCTCAATCTCTTTTTCTGTGTCCCCTGTACAATGAACACGAATCCACTATACTGAGTGTTGCTGTTCATTGAGAATATAGTATGTTTACTATAACTACAATTATGAATGAACAGGAGGGGATATAGATCACTCCGATTCATTCATAATTGAGGATATAGTAACCATACCATGTCCTCAATTATCTACAAACACTCAGCGATCGCTGATCGCTAATCGCTGAGTGTATGTAGCCTGCTCTCATCTCTGACACAGACACACGCTGTCACAGGAGGCTGAGCAAGCGGTGTAGGAAGTAAAGGCCAGCCTCCTGTGACAGCGCTGTCTCCGCCCCCACACCGCCTCTGCCGGACTGTGATAGGCGGCTGAGCGGTGTGGGAGGAGAGACACCGGCCGATCACGGCAGTCTCCTCCAGCAGCATTCGGCTGGCTGTCACTTTCTCTCCTCCCTGCTGGGACAAAGAGCAGCGCCCAGCAGGGAGGAAAGAAATCAAGGCTGCGCGGACAAAACAGCAGGAAAATGGCACTTTCGGCATTTAGCCAAAAGTGCCATTTTCGGCCGGCACCCCCCTTCATCTTTTTACC